AGGGATAAACGGGCAAACGGGCAAACAATCGTAAATTGCCGCTTCGTCGCGCGGGCAATGGGCGTGACGTTTTCTCAATTTGCACCACCTTTTCGATGGGAGCAGCGGATTTCGTGTAGACAAGGACGGACACTTATGTCTACTTTTTGACACACATTGTCTATTCTCGACCGATACCACCTGAAATCGGCGTCATTAGGCCACGGCCTCTGGCGCGGCGAATTACGATCCTCTTGCCGCATATCCACAGTTAGATTGCGTTCAGACTTCGCGACGACAGCGCTTCGGTCGCGCGTTCGACGCGATCGATGCAGTCGAAAGCATGCGCATCGATCGCGTCAAAGGCGCGATCCGAAGCGCTGCCGTCGCGAAGTCTGAACGCTGCCTTAGCAGAATCAATCGATAGATATCTAATCCCTTCGACACACTCGCTGAAAATGTCGGGTCTCTGAATCTCCACATCGATAGGTATACCTTGTTATCAGTCAGTTTGCAAAACGTTGAACCTCCTAACACACAGAATCCCCAAGTTGCAAGGTTTGAGCGCAATCTGAGAGCAGTCATTGACCATCACAAATCAACCCCGTAACTGTAAGCTCCCTACATTTGAATGAAATCTTCACCTTCAGTGCAACGACGACGCGTTCTGGATTGTAACGAGCGAGATAGACGTTACCAAATTTCCCTTTGCCAAGAGGTCGCCCAATATCGAAATCATCGATTGACCACTTTTGCGGGCTGAAATCGACACAGTGGAGGCCATTAAGATACACAAAATGTAGAACAAACATCAACGAGACGAATCAGACTGAGTTAAAACAAAATTCTGGAACATACTCGCTTCGAGTAGATTGAGAGCTCTCCGAAGTAGTGGACACAACGTCGGGAGTTTCCTAAAATATCAGTAGAAGTGTGTGCAAATAGTATGTGAAGAGCAAAACCAAGATTAACCTCTTACCTGAACCTGAAGTTGCATTTCAGATGCCTGGAGAGGTGTTGCAACTTCAGCCATCTGGAATCGACCTAAAAGATGGAAATCCGATTCTCCTACGCATTTCAAAGAGTTAAAAGATCAAAGGCTATAACTGCACTCAGTAGAGCATCAGAGAACGAAAACACAACCTATTTAGCGTAGCTAGGACCACTAAAGTAACCTGTCTAGTAAGCAAAAGGATTCAAAATGATCCCCCGTCGATATGAAAATGGAAGTTCCCGCCGCATTAACCGTATTGGCCGTGGAGCGCAAATTGACCACGGGGCGTCGGTTGTTCCAGAGGCACCACTACTTTGCAGTCCAGGCTAGGGCCGTTGGAGAAACGTTGTTAAAAAGCTTTCCCCTACCCCCCCCCCGGAACTTCGTCTTCTTGTACAACCATTCCCTCTCCTATTAATAATTTTCCTCAGCATTCCCAGCTTTCCACCACTTTTTCAGAGAAAAAGTGAAAAATCACTGTCTCATAAAAGAAACTGCTGTCGAGCGAAGGGAGAAGAGGACAGCGCAGTTGAAGCAGAGAAAACCGAGAAAAGTCAACAGTCCA